TTTAATGTAATAATAAGAGTGTAATAAGTGATTTAATGTAATAATAAAAGTGTAATAAGTGATTTAATGTAATAATAAAAGTGTAATAAGTGATTTAATGTAACAAGAGTGTAATAAATGATTTAATGTAATAATACGAGTGTAATAAGTGATTTAATGTAATAATACGAGTGTAATAAGTGATTTAATGTAATAATAAGAGTGTCCTGACCTCCGGTTCAAACAGGCCGCTGTAGGCCGGGTTGGCGGTGCTTCGTCTCTTCCTCTCTTGTCTCTTCGTCTGGATTTCTGATCAAAAACATAAAACACAGTAATGTGTTTTATGTTTTTAACAGATTTAATGGCTCCACAGTTTATAAAAGCAGCTAAAGTTCAACTTATCAACAAATAAACACCTCACACACTCTTCACAGTTGATGCCGCATAAACAGACAAAACCAAACTCTCTGAGATCAGCGGAGACGCCTGAACTCACCTTCCAGGTGTTCTGTGGTGACGAGGCCGAGCGCCACCATGAAGGCGATTTTCTGTAAAACACACAGAGAGAGAGAGAGACAGAGAGAGAGACGTTAACAAGGAAAATATTCTACAACAGAAACAAAGAGGAAGAAGAAGAAGATCGTTAACTTGTTCCGTCACTGATGAATAAATAAAGTCACAGATAATAGAACCAGATCCTAAAGCTTCTCTCACCTTGGGGTCCTCGTCTTTCTTCTTCGAGGGGGATTTGGGGGTCTCCTGTGACGGGAGGTCAGCCGGGGCCCCTGGAGGCCCCTCGGTGCTGCTGGGGGCCTGTGGCTGGATTATTATCACCTGGAGGCAAACGAACAGACAACATGTTAGAATAAAATAATGAATCACTAATTTATTAATCAATTACTTCATAACATCGATATTTAGTATATCATATTTAAGTTCATAAAAAAAAACTACATTTCAAATCTAAAATCTTTATTTTCTAAATATTTAAACAATACGTTTAAATCTTAAAACTCTTTTAATATTTAATAATGTCTGCACCTTGACGGCCTCGCTGACGGCCGACACCCCGTTGCTGGCGGGCGAGGCGGCGATGATGGCGAAGGCCACGCCGGGCCCCGCGGAGGCGTGCTGGACGGGTCCACACGGGCCGCCGGAGTCGGGCGGCGAGGCGTCGCTCTGTCCGTTGGGCTGCTGGTCGGGGCTGAAGGTGCTGTTGGCGGTGGGCAAAGTGGGGCCCTGGCCCCGCGGACTGACCACGGCGGTGGCCCTCTGCAGGCCGAGGGGCTGCAGCTCCTGACACGGACTGTGAGGGAGGCTGTCGGGGATCTGGGTCTTTGGCCTGACCTGCAGGACCAGAACCAGGACAGATGTTCACACACCTGGAGGGCTCTTCACAGACTTTATTCATTTACTGTAAAGCTTTGACCACAATAAAGATCAGCTACTGTCACATTTCATCCTCATACTTTAATGTGCCCTTTCTTCATTGCACACATTAACATAATCTCTCTTTAGCGTCTGACGAGTCTCTGCTGCCACCTGGTGGACGTCTGGGGGACGTCTAGTCTCTTTGTAAACATTCAACCTACTGCATCTTTTACTGTAGTTCTGTTAGGACGTCACAATGGACATTTTTATGAATATTAATCAATTAATCAATTAATCAATCACGGACTGTTGCCCGTACAGGTGGACTGTTGCCCGTACAGGTGGACTGTTACCTGAGGTAGCACTGTGGCTGCTTGTCCTGCCAGCCGGTGCAGGGAGCTGACTTGAGGCATCTTGATGGGCACAGCTGTGAGAGTTCCCAGCATCTGGAAGGAACACAAATGCAACACATCAATAAAACATCACTTAATCACCAGACTACCAGGAAGTGAAAGCACACCTTCACCAGCGATGCTGCTAGCTTTGATTATTCGACTGATTTCTACACTAATAGATGTTCACTTTACTGCAATGTGAGGAGAATAAAAGCAGCAAATCATTAAAGATTAAAAGAAACAAAGTTACTGATCTTCTGTCGTTTCAATGCCGCTAAACTAAACCTTCAGCAAACTGTTTCACAACGTTTTATCGGTTATGTTTCCTTAAATCTTTACGTTTCTGGTTATCTTTAACCGACATTTATTTTCTGCAATGCATTGTGGGACATCTGTTAGTCTCACAATCACAAACCAGTCAAACTAGTGGAAACAGAAAACTTCACAGCCATCAGAGCAGGAAGAGAAACCTGTTATTTCTATTTGACTGTTTTCATTTGAGATGTTGTAGTAACAACCAGCGGCCACTAGGGGAGCTCCTGATGCACCACATAGAGCCGACCTGACACCAGCTGCATGCTGGGAAATCCACATTTATCAGAGAGGAAAGAGATTTCAATCCAAATTAAGCTTTTTTAAGATTCAAGAATAAAACTAAAATATAGATGAGATATCTCCTTCAAATAACAAAGGAGATTTATTACAGTTTAAAGAAAGTTTATAAAGTCTAGAACTGACAATATTAAAATCAAATCATTTAATCAACATGGAATCTATGTTTCTATTTGTGTGCACATCTTGTAGAATAAAAAAAATACTAAATACGTTAAATTTAAAATTTTAAAAATAAAGAAAAAGCATCAAAAGATCAAAACATGTTCATGTTGGAGAAGAATAATAACTGTATAATCTGGAGTCATTATAGACGTTTATGAAGTTTAATGATATTTAATGAAGAAATATCAGTTCATAAATCTGCTTAAACAGCAACCTTTAAGATCATAAGATCTTAAAATGTAAATGTGAAAATAATCAGATGGAAACATATTTAACGAGGATGTGGTGTTTATGTAACATAACGTATATAATCACAAGCTTTAAGAGAAGTTTTAACTGACAGTATTATTATTATTATTCCTTTTTATTAAAAATAAATTAAATTAAATTAAAATTAATTATATTAAATTTAATTTAATTAAAAATAAAATAAAATAATATTAAATTAAATTGAATAAAAGTAAATTAAATAAAAATAATACAAATAAAATAAATGAATAGAAAATAATAATACTATGTTGTCTTATATACTTTTGTCATGCATGATCTTTTATTTAATTTGCTCTCATGTGCTACATGAATAAACTTGAGTCTGTGATTGGCCAACACCTGCAGCAGTTAAACCAGTAGATGAACCACAGAAGAAAAAGAAGATTAAAATCTCCTCCATGTTTCCTCTCAGCCGCTCGACAGAAGAAGAAATTCAGGAAAAAAAGAGGAAAGTTCCCTCCTCCCCCCTCCTTTCTTCTTCTGTGAAAATCCCTTCGTTCCATTGTATTGTGCTGCAGAGGAAGAGGAGGAGGAGGAAGAGGAGGAGGAGGCCCCGGCCTGTTCCCATGGCAACTGCAGAGATGAAAATTCTTGCAGTGGAAGGGCTTTTATTTTCCTAATTGCTTCCTCTTTTCTCCAAACCTAAGCACCTTCTCTTTAGGGCGCCTCCTCTTCCTCCTCCTCCTCTCCAGTGTGAGGAGTGAACACAACCTTGGACCACAGGTTTTATTGAATGAATTTTTTCCAAATACCAAAGTCGATAGTGAGATGACAGCTCTGCAGCACACGCTAACACCCCCCCCCCCCCCCCCTGCTGTGTGTGTGTATGCGTGCGTGTGCATGTACACATAAATGGCAATAAACTGCGATAAATGGCAATTTTTTAATGAAAGAACCCCTGTACTGCTCTTTGAAGTCCTCATGGGGGGTCTTAACCCTCAGGTTTTGGAAACGCTGCTAAATAATCCACTAAAGGTTTCATAGTTTTAAATACAACTGAACCCAAAATATAAACTGTTTATTAAAGAGTAGATCAGTTAAAAGATCACCTGATATTTTAATGCACTATTCTTTTTAAAGACGTGACATGAAGTCTGAGAAATTTGAAGTCTGATTTATTTAAATACTTATAAATAAATAAAATATACCAGCAGGTACAGTATATTTGAAGGTACTTATTTCTGAACCACTGACTATGAAAAACTATGAAAAACATAATTAAAATGCCACAAATTTAGTTCAAAGTCTGGTAAAGATCTGAAAGCCTCTAAAGACTCTAAAGACTAAAAACTCTAAAAACTCTAAAGACTAAAAACTCTAAAGACTCTAAAGACTAAAAACTCTAAAGACTAAAGACTAAAAACTCTAAAGACTAAAGACTCTAAAGACTAAAGACTCTAAAGACTAAAGACTCTAAAGACTAAAAACTCTAAAAACTCTAAAGACTAAAGACTAAAAACTCTAAAGACTAAAAACTCTAAAGACTAAAAACTCTAAAAACTCTAAAGACTAAAAACTCTAAAAACTCTAAAGACTAAAGACTAAAGACTCTAAAGACTAAAAACTCTAAAGACTAAAAACTCTAAAAACTCTAAAGACTAAAAACTCTAAAAACTCTAAAGACTAAAAACTCTAAAAACTCTAAAGACTAAAGACTCTAAAGACTAAAAACTCTAAAGACTAAAAACTCTAAAAACTCTAAAGACTAAAGACTAAAGACTCTAAAGACTAAAGGCTCTAAAGATCTGAAAGACTCTAAAGACTCCAGAATGTTTCCATTCTCTCGTCTGTGTGTTGACTTTAAGAGGATTTGAGGAGACAGACCGTAGATCTGTGGTTTCTCTCTCAAAGAAACAAGAAGATGTGAAGCTGCTGCAGCAGCCAGCAGAGGGCGCTGCTTCAGGACACCTCAGATCTCTCTACTGTCTTCATCCTCATCTTCATCACTTCATTCAGACGTGAACTCATTAGACGAGAGTTCATGAAACATAGATTTAATAAGAATAAGAACTTTATCAGATGGAGAAAATAACATCAATCTAGTTTCATAAAGAGTCCTGTTTGTTTCTTCATCAATGACAAATATACTGAAAAAGAACTACAAATCCCTTTCTCTTAACGTATAAAAGTATGTGTGCGCGTGTGTGTGTCAGAGTATGTGTGTGTGTGTGTGTGTATGTCTCAGAGTCCACTGAAGTGCTGAAACAATGCAGCTCTACTGTGATCACTCATGCAGAGCAGTAATCCCATTACACCTCATCATTGATCTTCTAATTAGTGGCCAGGTGGCGTGAGGGACCTACCCCCATTACACCCCCCCCCTCCATCAGCCAGGATGGCCTCTGATTGGCTAAGCCTCACTCTCGATTGATAAAAGAGAAGAAGAGCGTGGAGGCCTGCAGGAGGGGGGCGTTTCTTTTTATGACCTGGTGCAGGCAGCTGGGTGGAGAGATGAACAATGGGGGGGGGGGGGGGGACTCGAAAAAAAAAAAAAAAAAACGTACCGATGCATACGCTTCATACTTTTTACACACAAACACTGTGCAGCTCCTCATTTTAATAACACTTATTTTATGTATTGTTTATTTGTATGATTCTTGACTTTTGTTGTTTGTTGTTATGCACCAACAGAACAGAGACCTACGTGGTAATAACCCAGATTCTGATCTATTGAAATATAACAGTGTGTCATAATATTATCTTTAATATATTAAATATTACTGTATACTGTGTATATTACAGATACACAATACACTCATCATTTATACCTAGATATTCATATATAATTCACCTAGTTTCACAACAATAATCAATTAATACTTTAAGTAGATTATGAAGTAAACACACAATTCTCTGGTTTCAGCGGCTCAGATGTTTTCCTGTTTTAAATCAAAGGGAAGATATTTAGTTTTTGAACCGACAGTTAAAGACTGTGAAACTGTGATGAGCATTATTGACCAAACAATTCACTAAAAGAATATAAACATCTATAAATAATGAGAATAATTATTACATCCACATCATGACTTTGAATGTTCTTCTTCACGTGTTAACTAAAGACAGTTTAATTCTCGTCGTCCTGAACGGTTTAATCTGAATTGATTAAAGATGTTTTTGGTTGAAACCTCATTAAAACAAAGAAAGAGAAAGAAGCTCTTTTCTACCTTTTGAAGTGAATCTATTTGAAGGTTTCTCTGCTAACAGACGTGTCGATATGGACGGAGGAAACGTGAAGCCGGAGCCCGAGGGGCCCCGAGGCTCGGCCCTTCTCTCTCTATGGGGGCCCTACAATTACAGTAATAGTGTGGAGGCCTGAGCCGGAGCTCTGATCCCCGACTGTGTGCTGATGTAGGTGATGCTGCTGAATACAGAGTGAGGAGGAGACGAGACTGAAATACTAGATCTCACATTCAGAGAGCACGGAGCGACACAATGTTTCTCACGTTACAGAAGAAATAACAACCTGCCGACCAACACCGTATGAAATACACACGGACTAAAACACTGGATGTTCAGCTGTTTACTGTGAACTGAACCTTTAAAGAAGATCAACGGCTTCTACGACTAAACTGCAACAACAGGGGAGAATAATGCTGACCAATCAGAGCCAGGTGTCCACAAGATGGCGACGGCAAAAACCAACATGGCGACAGACTAAAACAAAGATGGCGACGGACTAAAACAAAGATGGCGACGGACTAAAACAAAGATGGCGACGGACTAAAGCAAACATGGCGACGGACTAAAGCAAACATGGCGACGGACTAAAACAAAGATGGCGACGGACTAAAGCAAACATGGCGACGGACTAAAGCAAACATGGCGACGGACTAAAGCAAACATGGCGACGGACTAAAGCAAACATGGCGACGGACTAAAACCAACATGGCGACGGACTAAAACCAACATGGCGACGGACTAAAACCAACATGGCGACAGCTACAAACCACTACTATAGTACTGAAAGTGACTTGCAGCCTGAGCTGGATGTGTAACATTGTGCAATATGTTGATGCGAGTGTTGAAGGAGGCAGCAGCTGCTCCAGGTGTTCCAGGTGACGTCTTACCTGAGAGGGAGGCAGCTCTCCGGCTCTCCTGCTGCTGAACGCGTGGACTCCGGCGGTCGCCATCCTGCCGCCCGTCTGCAGGTTGATGGGCGTCGTCTGCAGCGGGTCCGAGCTCGCCGCTTTCTGTCCGTTGATGTGTGCGGTCACCATGGACACGGGAGAGATGGCGATGCCCTGACTGGGAGGCTTGATGAGAGAGAGAGGCTTAGTGGAGCCCACGGGACAACTTCTGACCGCCAGCTTCTGTAGAGACACACACAGAGTACTTATACACACTGTACTGCTGTATAGTACTCGCACCACACACAGAGAGTACTTATACACACTGTACTGCTTTACAGTACTCGCACCACACACAGAGAGTACTTATACACACTGTACTGCTTTACAGTACTCGCACCACACACAGAGAGTACTTATACACACTGTACTGCTGTATAGTACTCGCACCACACACAGAGAGTACTTATACACACTGTACTGCTTTACAGTACTCGCACCACACACAGAG